TAAATCAAGCTTCTCAATTTTGTATTTCATATGTTTTCGAACATGTGAGCGAAACCAGTTAATTGCATGCTCATAGATTTACATCTAATTCAGAAACATCAAAAACATTTGTTAGTTGGAGAGTAGTTGAGGGGAGGAGAAGTGTGAGCGAATATATTATATAGCACTATATTATACATTTTATGATGTCTGATTTCATTGATTCTCACAAACCGTTTTGCTTCGCGAGTACGCTCATCATAAAAACAATGTTTCTTAAGTGCTTTTAGGGCGTTACTTGCTTATTGAATTTTGCAGGAGGAATTTTTGTTGCGTCTTCAGATTTTTGTATAGATTTGGTCATCCCTTACACACTACTTCCACAAATGAAAATTATGCTGTATAGCACCTATCATATATCACTAATCCAATCCTTCAGATATGATATCGACTCAAAATCGCCCGAACTCTCTGACCATGATTTTCTTGGGCGAATGGAATGTGATCTTGCCGAGATCGTTTCTAATCGTCCCTTTGTGAAACCGCTAAGGTATCTAGCCCTCGGTTTAAGCTACTACACACCATTTTATAGCTTTATCAATTCAGTGGCTTGAAAGGTTACTGTGGTGATATAACCATCTGGAGTGATGAGATTGACGAAGGATCGAAGGAGAACGTCCTCTTTCATTTGAGCGCTAAAAAGCTTGACAAAAAAGATTTCTTTGGGAAATCTGATCCGTTCCTCAATATTTATAGAGTGGACGATGATGGCAGGTACTTAAATTTCACATTTTCTTCTATTTTGATTGTTGAACGTCACGTTCTAGCCGTGTGCTGGTGTATCGAACAGAGGCTATCATGAAGGAGTTGAATCCGACATGGAAACAATTCGAAGTTAACTCAAAGTTACTCTGTCATGGTGATCACAACAAGTGAGCAGCCCTTTTTTCTCCACACTTACCTTACCTCGTCTTCCATACTGGGGTAGTGGAAGCTGTTGTTCGCAATATCTCGGATTTAACTAAGTTACTTCAATTTAATCAAACATACAGCGAATGCGTCAAAAGCTTTTTAATAGAGAATTCTCATTAAAGTATTTTTGAAAGACGTGATACCTCAAGTAATATAAAATATCTAGCTGTTTGAGAAACTTATAAATTTGCCTGCACCTTGTTTTTCGAATTGAATTGTGTTTTTTACCCTATTGAATAACTGTAACAATCTTAGAGGAAAATCAATTGGCCCCCATTTTGAATTATGAGCATCTTTGGCACCAGATTTCCCTCAGTAATTCTATCTAGAATTTTCTAGGATTTTTTGAGTATTATCTAACTTAAAGAGTTGATAAGCATGCATGAGAGTCGAAGAACAATTTTTGCGCTTGCAGCTGCCCTCTACTTGATCCCTTCACCCCTTTCGCGCATTCCAAGCTTCAAATCATCCCACTCTCTCTCTCTTCCTCCCTTTTTCTTTCTCAATCTTGCTACTATTACAACACTTGTAATCCTATAAATTACACCCACAAGGTTTTGATGTTGTACTTAATATATAACATTAGTTTTTTATTACAGAGCTTTTCTCGTCGAATGTTGGGACTGGGACCGCGATGGCGGGTAAGCTCATAGTTCTATATTGTTTTTTTTTTGTTTTTTAGCATTAGGAGCCTAGAGTTAGAAAAACTGTTACGACCCCTAGTATAATCTAGTTCAAGTCATGACTTCATTGGAAGCTGTGAAGTATCGCTTAACCAGCTGCTGTCGAAATCAGCTGTAAAGTCATTACCGGTGAGTAATAGATTTTCATAATCTCCGTTTTCTCTTGATAAATTTCATTGAAGCTAATAAACGAGAAGAAACAAAAGAAAAAGGGCGATAAGTACAAAAACTCAGGGACGTTGGAGTTTGATGGGGTGCAAATCCTGAAACAACACACTTTTCTGGATTATATTTCTGGAGGGTATGTAGACACAATATCGTCAAAATTCACTAAGTTAGTTAGGTGAATAGCTATTTATTACAGTACTCAGCTGGAATTTGCTGTTGCCGTTGACTTCACTGCTTCGAACGGAGCTGTTCACAAGCCCACCTCTCTTCACTGTATCAATC